AGTGATAAAATTTTAATATTAAAATATCTAATTTTTTAAATGTTTTTGCAAGATTGACTTTAATACTTCATTCATCTCATGAAATCATTTAACTTTTATCTTACACATTTATTCTATAACTTAATTATTTACAAGTGCCTTTCTCCTTTTTTATAAAGAAAATGTTCCTTGTATATACTTTTTAGGTTGTCACTTTTTATTTGAAGTAACAAATAAATATCATAGCAGTTCATGTACACAAGTTTATTATCAAATTGGCATGGAATCAATAGAATCAAATATGTTACTAGAACTTTTAGCACAGATTTTATCAGAACCTTGTTTTACTACATTAAGAACTAAAGAACAATTAGGATATATAGTATTTAGCGGTGTTCGAAAAACAAATGGTACACAAGGTTTAAGAATTATAGTTCAAAGTGACAAACATCCTAAATATGTTGAACAGAGAATTAATATATTTTTGAGCTCTATGTTGGTTAGTAATTGAATTTTAAACGTTATTACATAAATTTATTTCTAAAACTTGTACTTAAATTTAAATTATTTCAGCAATATATATCTTCTATCACCGAAGAAGAATTTAATGCCCATAAAGAAGCATTGGCTATACGACGCCTTGAAAAACCTAAAAAAATGACTACTTTATCTACTGTCTTCTGGAATGAGATTGCAACGCAACAGTACAACTTCGATCGAGCCAATATTGAAGTTGCATATTTGAGAACTTTAATAAAAGAACAAATACTAAAGTTTTATAAAGTATGCATATAATAATTATATTATTTAAATATTAATATCTACTACATTAAAGTATTTTGTTTATAGGATATGCTTCAAAATGATATTCAACACAAATTATCAGTGCATGTACTTTCTACAATAAAAGATTCGAAATCAGAAAATGAAAATGCCATAGAACCTAACGAAAATATTCAGTTAGACGAGACAAATACAATTGAATATAAAAAGATAGACGATGTTCTGTCATTTAAAATTAGTCAGTGTTTGTATCCATTACTAAAACCATTCAGTGATATACCAAGAAAGGGAGTCCATTCATCAAAATTATGAAGAGCTAATAATAATTGTGAATATGTTTTTTAACTATGCTTAGATTGTAGATTGAATATCTCGAAAATGAATACATCTAACACTACTATATCACAAAAATTATAAAATACTGGTGAACAAAAATGTCATTGTATTAAATTTCTAACAAGATTCCATAACTCGTATTTTATTTATTTTAAAGTATATTCTTTTAAAAGCGGATACTTATACGTGAGTACTTAATAGATTGAGAAATTTGAATTACAACTCTTAATTGTATCATTGTGCATTTAAATTTTTTAGTGTTAAAAAATTTTGTAAATGTAAATATAAAGAGGAACTCATATCAAAATTATTTATGATAATTAATATAAACAAATTACAGTTATCTTAGAATAAGGTACATGTGTTTCTGTATCTGTAGAACTGTATTTTATTTTTGGGATCATAAGAAATAAATTTATTAAATTTACACAATAATTGATCTGACATTTATAATATTAGATTACATTATATATTATGGGATAAATAAATGGCTAAATAAAAATTTGTGGCGGTACTTTTTTCTCTCACCATTAAATATTAGGCAAACGTATATAACGACATCACATCCTTCGGTCAGCCGTCTTGAAAAGTTAATTTCTGGTAGGAAGTTTTTCCGCGAAAAAAGTAAAAACATTGCGACCCCTTACGCTTCCCTCCTGCACGGAAAATTCGTGCTTTTTTTCCGAGTTGTGCTGGAGAAATGAGTTAGACAAGGAAAGATATAGGGATAAACAAGGACAGATAATTTCAAAAGTTAAACTATCGCCATCTCGCGTCAGGAGACGCGAACTACGATTTTCTAATAGGAACACAGAATATAAACGGAGGTATTAGACAAAGAAAGCACTAGTGTGCGAGAAGGACAGAGAGAAAACGTTTCCTATTGGCTGGCGGGCCGCCATTGTCCGTCTCTCAACGGCTAATCAAGTCGGTCAGGGAATAATTATTAATAACTAAATAATTACGATGATTTGGTGAACTTTTAGAATCGAGTAATGAAGTGTGGACTTTTAACAACTTTCTCATATCGATTTTAGTGCTCTAAACCCTTTCAATAATTAGTTGTTAACAATTTTAGTACGCGAAGTCGGGAACGATACTGCGTACCTTTACGGTTTTTCAATAATTTCACAGCTTTGTACTAAATTCTTGTAGAGTCAAGTAGATGTGTTTGAAAGGTTAACTCCTTTGGCTACATTGCCATGTAATTTTTATTAACATATTCGGTTTAGTTGAAGAGTTATTAAACATTATATAGGAGAGTCACCTATTCGTCGTACTTGCGTATAGTCAAGTGTTATAAACAATTGCTAATATCTAATGAACCATACATCTTACAGCTACCAAACTAATTGCAGAATATAGATAAAAGTCCATTCTGCATTCTACATGATTGAAAGTACATAATTTATCACGCATTTCTGTTGAAATAACGAAAATGCGCTACTTTGTAATATCATTAGAAACCTGTTCATATAAATCAATAAGTTTTTTATCAGGTAATTTTAATGACTGTATTGCTTTTAATACAGTATCCCAGTGTCCATTATTTATATCTGCTACAAAACCATCCACACTATCTACTGTATTCAATGATACACCAGTTTCTTCCTATAAATATTATATTATATTATTTTCACCATTTCTAATTGTCAATCAAATCTATTTACCACATTTATATATTAAAAATATTTACATCAACACAATACATAAATACCTGCAACGTTTGTAATGTTTTGACAAGATTTGATTCCTTAAGGTACTGTTGAATTAAACGAATTACACTAAAATCAAACAATACAATAAAGGTAATTAGAAAAAAAATAATAATTATATTA